CCCATCCCTACCGCTTTTTGTCTGTCTCTCTCTATCCACTGGCCCTGTTGTTTCATTGTCTGATGCTCTCACCCACTCTGCTGCCTCTCTTTCCTCTCTCTCCTCTTCTTCCTCCCGACAATTTTCCTCTTTTAAAATCTCTACATCTCTTTTTCATCATTTCATTTCCCCTCATATCAAATCTAGGTACTGTGGTATTCCAGTTTGCTGATATTAACTTTTTATTAAAAATAGTCTCTCTATGGAGTTTCTGATCTTGTAGACTTTTTAACAGTTTTTTTAACTTTTGCATCTATCGCAATAATATACTTAGTTTTCAATAGATTACCATTTGTTAGAACAGGAGGAGCATTCTTGTTTCGAGGGTTTTTGTGTATTTTGTTTTTTCTTTGTTTTGAGTGAATGTAGAAATGTTTCGTCGTTTTAAAAACATATTATAATGTTTTATAAAACTAGATGGTTTGATACAGCTAATATAATACTCTTCTTCCATTTTGGATGCCCCGGCTCTCGGTTCCCTCAAATTTTGGCATTGTCAAGATTGCTTGTTATTGGTCAACGGCACAAATCTGCATTTCTAGATTCACCAAGTTGAACACTGCACAAGCTCAGTGCAGATTTACTATGCCTCAAAACCATAACTGTAGGGGTATAACAACTTCATTTGACATGTAAATATAAGTATTGTAATTTTCATTTAGCTTTCCTACTCACTGTCAGAGAAGTGAAGGTCATGCACATGCCTCCAAACCCATTCAACGCCAACGCAAAGAAGATCAGGATGGACAGATCTGCAGGAGAGAGAGCAGATGAGACAAGGCAACTCCCACACATCCCATCTGATTGATTAAAGTGTCACCGCTGCATCAATACACTGTATGTGCCTGTGTGTACATGTGCTCTACAATATGGCTCACCTACAAAAGGAACATGACGGAGAGCAGTGTGTGAGGCAGTGCAGCCGCTCAGTGAACATATGATGCCGTTAAAGTGATGTATGTGAGTGACATGAGAAGGGATACTTACTGTTGGGATCACTGGCGCCGTAGGCGATGAGGAGGCAGGAAAAAGCAAAGCAGGCACTGGGGACACAAAGCAATGGGTTTAAGGCAATAAATAAACCAAACACATCATATCTGTCCACTATCATAATATCAGAACATTGATTTATATCTGTGCCTTACCTGCCCAGGAGACGTAGCTTCCGTGGACCATATTTGTCCATGACAATGCCCATGGGCAGGGTGATGGCAGACAGCAGGAAGGAGCCCACAGTGAAGGCCAGGTTCAGCATCTCGTCCTGGTCCTTGCAGATGGTCCAGCCATTCATCTCCAGGTACTCCTCAGACGCCTCCGATGTGGGTGCAATGGAGAGGTTGAGGCTGGAGCTGTTTTCTGGATGGGGAGAAAAATGAGAAAAGACTTTAGATTTGAACTGTCAGATTAGTCTATACTATATACTATATATATATACTCTACAGTCTATACTGGTGTTTCTAAATGGCAGTGAACTATAACTAACATCTGCACACAATCCAGTTTGTGATGCTTTATACCCAGAGGTGGAAAGTAATTATGCATATTTACTTACATACTGTACTACGGTAAAGTTCTGAGGTACCTGTACTTCACTGTGTTTCCATTTTATGTAACTTAATACTTCTAATCCACTACATTCATGGGAAATGTTGTGCTTATAGTCCATTATATTCATTTGACAGCTATAGTTAATGGATAAGTTTGTCTGTCAGTCTTCAGTCTAGACTGAAATTGACATTCCATACAGTGCCATCATCAGGTGGACATTTTAATGTGTCCAATACTTTACTTGTTAAACTTCCAATAACAAACAAAAATTATAATAAACTAATGACATTCCCGTCAGTCTCAGCATGACATTAGCATTTAGCTCAAAGGACCACCGCTCTTATTCTTGTTTACATTCAAAATAAATGATCTATATACAAAATATGAATCATTGTTAATCATTGTTGTGAACATACATTAGCTCCGCTTCAGGCTGCTTACACACTCATGCATTAATAATAACAATCCAATAATATAACACTTTCTGTTTAACCTAATACATTAAACTGTTATATATTTCAACAATTTCTTTAGTAAATCATCTTCCACAACTGTTTACACCAAAGGATAACAAAATGCAAAGATTTAACAATGTGACAGCTCACTTATTTTCAGTATTAATGCTCTGTTTGTCTGAACTGAAAATGTTTCCATATCAAACATCAGAATCTTCCTTTGATGAACAGCACAAATCTGGGCTTTGAGTTTGTTTTTACATGAAATATCGGACATATTGGAGCTTTAAATCAACCAGTGGATGTCTTTTATGCTGCACAACCATCATTAATTCCTCTGTTCTAGAAATTATCATTATGCAACAAAACCAGAAGAGCACCTGCTGACCTGTTCACTCTAGAAGTTTTGGTGTGATCTAAAACCAACGCCTTCTTGGTATTTCTCATGTTGCTCTTTGAGGTCTGAGCTGCTACATTTACCCCTCCCTCTCTCAGAGCTGAGCTGCTGATCTAAAAGCCAGGAGACTCATTAAAGGTCAAGTAAACAAACTGAAGGAAAAACAACACAATACAGGGTAAACAAGCACCAGAAATAGTCACAGCTGCACCCCTCCATGGTGGAGGGGAACTCTCTCCGGCACAGTCTGCCTCTCGCTGAATCACCGGTAAACACAGTCCACTGAGTTCATGAGGACTCTATTTTTGTCTATTAGACTGTTGCCTCTGGTGAAACTCTTGGTATCAACAGACAGACAGAGAGACAGACAGACAGGGGACAAAGAGGAAAACAACTCCTCATTCACCTTGACTTGTTTTTAGTCAAACTGCCAGAGAAACAATAGAGGCAGACTCAGCAGATAGCACATGTTTAATGTCTGTAGGAGGGAGGAAGGTATAAATAACTTAGTCATCAGAGTGTTTTCTTCATTTCAGTCCTGGGGGCAAGTTGTCAACAGCAGCTAAAGGCTGGGCTGCGTCCAACCAACAGAAGTGAAAATCTGCTTTGCCACTATGTTCTTAAAGCGGTGTGTGATATTGATTTCTGCCACTGTTGAGCCAGCTTAAGGTACAAAGAGGCAGGTAGGAGGCGTTCCCGCTGGTCTGTGGGCCTAGGGGGGATTCAGAGGAACAACAGGAAGCTATTTTGTAATATTAAATGCATCCTGGTGCAGAAAATTGGCCCAGTGCTCTGTAAGGATATAAGTAGGTGAACGGTTACGTAGCTTAATGAACATCTGATGGCTGCAGTGTGTGTTGTTTTAATGCTGGTACATCCGACAGTACACACAACAGTACATTTACTGAGGGATGTGAGGACACTTGAGCTCAAGAGCATTAAAAACCGGCAGCTGCAGAAAGGACTCGTTGGACTTAATGACGCAGAGCTATAATGATCTGTGGGCTTTTATAAAAAATCATTTTAATCAGATACAGTGACAGATAAGTCTTCCCACAAGGTCCTTTTAGTAGATGTTCTGGAGCTTTTCGATTGAAATGGGGAGTTTCCCTATATAAGATTATATGACACGATCAAAAGCTTTCAGACCAGCTACTAAACGGACATCGTGGGAAGAATGTGTCAGCTGCTGTTTCCAGGTCACGAATGAACTTCAGAGAGCTGTCAGCGGGACAACTTCACCTCAGTGGATTTTCAGGCAACAGGTTAACAGAAATGTATTATCATGATCAGTATAAGTAGTTGCACTAGTCGTATTGTAGACTTTGTATGTTGTTGTTGTTGTCTTTTTATGTGATCATGACTATTTATTGCTTGCTAATTATGTTAAAAAACAAACATTTTCCAAGGAGTACATTTTAATTATTCCTGACATTGAAAACATAACTGTCTCTATTGGAACTGTGTTTAGTATCGAGAACAAAAAAAAAAACGGAGTCAAATTCCTTGTGTATACATACTTGGCCAGTAAATCTAATTCTGATGATCGATAACTTGGTTTTCAGTGGAGAGTTTTAGTGTAGCATAAAAGTTTTGATTTTGTTGTCAAACCTAATTTAAAAAAATGGTTAAACACAAAGTCTAGATTACAGCCATGCTAGCAGCTGTAGCTAAGCTATGCTTTGAGTTACATGCTAACCTCCATATTTAAAAATGATCTGTGTGCATTTGCTAATTAAAATTTTTAAAACAAAGTACACGCAGGCTGATGGGAATTACTTTAGCCTGATAATGTAGCTACATTAAATGTTTAGGGACAGTTAGGCGGGAAAGTCAACAAAGTTATTCCACTTGTTCTTGAGGAATGGAGATATTTCACCTCAGAAATGTCTTCCATAAATGTTCATCTTCTGGTAACCATGAATGTTTGTACAAATTTGTGCCAGTCCATTCAATTGTCCGCATATTTCATTCTGGACCAAAGTGGTGGAGTGAGCGTTCTAGTGTGGCTAAAAGCTCAAAAATATGACCTTCTCTGTAAAAAAAAAAAAAGCTCTCTGTGATCAAACCTTTTTGTCAATATGGAGATGATGTGCTCTGCCCTCTCAGGCTGGTATTTGAGGTGTATTGGAGCAGTATAAGTGCTGACTGTTGGACTAACAGAAGAGAGCAGCATCACTCCCCCAGCAGCCTCAACTGCTGACTAATCAAATGGCCGCAGCAAACCTGAGTCAATAAGGGAAAATCCCGGACCGGCACACACACACACACACACCCACACCACATTACAGGCGAAGATACACTCAATGGGTATAAAGGCTGACTAGATCTTCTGGGTGGAAAGTTCTTTTCCTGATGAATCACTAGTGATATACCTTCTATCCTTCGGAGGGGTTGGGTTTCTCATTGCAATCCTGTGAATCACTATTGTGGTTTGGGTTAGTAGTTAATTCTGGTAGGAACCATTCGAGGCATTTTGGTTCTGATGTTTTTTATTGCCAACCCTTCCCTGGTTGGTTCAATGCCTGCGTCTCTGGATTTATAAGTAAACGACTTTCTTTACATTATGATCAAGAAGACTCGCCTCCTGCAGGAGGTCATTGTTTAAGACGGTATTTTAATAGGTATATATACTGTTGATGATTAAATAGTGGGTAACAGCTTTGCTCTTGTGTTTCGCCCCTTGGCAAAACAAAGTTGGCCCCTTTAGTTCACCTGTAGGATTTAGTGCCAAATACAACTTCACCAGCACGCTGATCTAGATAGCACATCCTGAAACAAACAGCACTGACAGAGAGTAACATCACCAGGACGGGGAATGATAATGTCAACGAGGAAATAATATGACAGTCAAGAAGTCTACCAAACAAAAGATACAGCAAAACGCCTCATCTGCTGTACACAGTGGTAACATACATCAAAAAATGATTAGCAGGGCAGTGAATCTATGCCCAGGAGGGACCTCAAAATGGGTGATTGTAGGAGGCTGCTTATATAAG